GCAATAAAAAAATAAATATATGACTTTATATGAACACTATCCTTAACTCCTTCCCACACAGCCTATTGTAAGATCCCTATTATCCAGGGAGGACGTTATATGACGTCCTCCCAGGATAGCCCCACGGGCCACGCTCCAGCGCGACCTTGCACTGGCTATGTCCACTGGACATAACCGATAGCAGATCACTACACCTGTCCGCTGCCCATGTCATGTGATCACTGTGACCAAATCACAGCAGATCACATGACAGTTGTAAACAATGAATGGCTTCCTTTAATGCCATTCATTACTTACAACTGTGCTGATAGTGGTCACATGTATAGACTTGGCCAAACAGCCCATCTGTAGCATGTGATCAGCCGTGAAAAATCAAACTGAATTAATGTGTTTCATTCAGTAAAAATGCTTGCCTATACCAATTAAATTCATTGGTATAAGCCAAGGGTCTCCAAACTATGGCCCTCTAGCTGTTGAAGTACTACAAGTCCCATCATGCCTCTGCGAGTCTTGCTTGTGGCTGTCAGTCTTGCAAGGCCTCATGGAACTTGCAGTTCCTCAAGTGTCCCTGATCAATGCCGCACCAGTTAGGGCTCGTTCACACTTAACGGTTTTACCAACTCTTGCCAAATGCCCCATAGCACTTGGCAAGCGGTGGTCTGGCGTTTGCGGAGCGTTTAACGCTCGGCAAACGCTGCATGCACGGTTCAGCGGCAGTTGCTAGGCGTTTGCCGAGAGTTAAAAAACGCCCCACAAACTCCTATAATGAAGTTTGAATGGTGTTACCGCTCCGCAAACACCCCGCAACCGCACATGCCGGCCGGGCATTTGTGGAGCGGCACCATAGACTAGAATAGGAGGCTTCAACGCTTCCTGACTCGACCAGAGGTGTCCGTTTTGCCGCGCCGCTAACGCTCCCGTTAGAACAGCACTATGCGCTGCAATGTGCAGAATTGTCCGAGGTGCTTGGAAAGCGGTAAAAACGCTTCCCAAAACGCCTTTCTGCCGCCTGCACACAACGCTAGTGTGAACGTAGCCTTATAGGATGAAGCTGCACTGCACACAAAAATAAATAAATACACATACACACACACACACACACACACACACACACACACACACATACACACACTTTTTCATAAAACAAAAAAAAAAACTAAATACCTGAGACTCTCTACTTTCCGAAAAGCGGTCATATGGGGGGGGCATTTGTACTGCCCTGGCATTTTTGGGCCTCAAGGAATGAGATAGGCCGTCAGTATATCAAGATATATAGATTTTTAGATAAATACCATAGTTTGTTAACTTTATAACTTTCTGACCAACTAAATAAACACCTATTTTGGTAATTATCACCAAAGAAATGTAGCAGGATACATTTTGGCCTAAATTTGTGTAGAAAGATTTGCAACATTTTATAAACAGAAAAAAAAAAAAAAAATTTTCTAAATTTTCAGCTTTTCATTCACAGCGACAAAAAAACCCAAGTGATGATCAAATACTACCAAAAGAAGGTTCCATTTGTGTGAAAAAAAAAAAAAAATTTCATTTGTATACAGTGTTGCATGACCGCACATTTGTCAGTTAAACTAGCGCAGAGCCGAATAGCAAAAATGGCTTGGCCATGAAGGGGGGGGGGGGGGGGGGGGGAATCTTCCAGATCACAGTCACCATGTGTACACAATGAAAAGCACTCAACAGCAAGGAAATGGTGATGCATTTATTTCTGAGTGTACTTAACACAGCTTGGGAAACTGCACATATTATTTGGGCTACAGAAAAATCTTTGCTAGTGCTGAAGCATGAAGACAAACATGCACCACAGCTAAAAAGAGGGTGACTCCCTTGGTTCGCAGGAAACATATTGTTTTTACAGTAGGACTACTAGGTCACAAGAGATGTATAATGGAGTAAGTGTGCTACTTATTCTGCCATGTTATAAAGACTACAGTCATCACCGAACATTTCCTTCTCTGAGGGGAAGTTAGTAAGACTTGAGCAGTCAAAATATGGAGAGCCGAGCATGGTAACCAGCCAGCTTGTTCAGTTAAAGAGGAACTTCAGTCACCTAATTTTTTCCCCCTTTTGGCACCATTATCTTTAACCACCTCCCGCCATATAGTAATATGAAGGGAGCAAGGTGGTTCTCTCGTTCTGGGAGGACGTCATATGACGCCCTCCTATTCTCACTGTGCATGCTCAGGGAGCGCGTCCCTCGGACACAGCAGATCACCGATCACAGAAAGAGCCGAAAATGTCGGCTTGGTCATGTGATCAGCTGTGTCCAATCACAGCTGATCACATGTAAACAGGGAAATGCCGGTTATCGGCATTTCTCTCCTCTCGAGCTGTCACGCTGACAGTTCGAGAGGAGCGCTGGTAATTGGCTTTCCACTGAGGGGACATGTGCCCTGATGATCAGTGTAGCCCCAGCAGTGCCACCTGTCAGTGCCTCGTGTCAGTGCTCATCTGTGCCTCGTGCCAGTGCCCATCAGTGCCACATATCAGTGCCTACCAGTGCACATCAATGCTATATATCAGTGCCCATCTGAGCTGCCTTTCAGTGTCACCCATCAGTGCCGCCACCAGTCAGTGCCGCCACCAGTCAGTGCCCATCACTGCCGCCTATCAGTGCCCATCAGTGAAGGAGAAAAATCACTTATTTACAAAAATTTATAACAAAAACTAAGAAAAAACATTTTCAAAATTTTCAGTGGTTTTTGGTTTAAGAAAAAATAAAAAACACAGAGGTGATTAAATACCACCAAAAGAAAGCTCGGTCACAAAAAAATGATAAAAATTTCATATGGGTACAATGTTGCATGACCACGCAATTTTCATTCAAAGTGTGACAGTGCTGAAAGCTGGAAATTGGCCTGGGCAGGAAGGGGGTATAAGTGCCCTGTAGGCTAGTGGTTAAAAACCTGGCATACGTGGAGTGTTTTTCATCACTCATGAGTTTTGGGACATGACTTGCACTTAGGCGGATGTTCACAGTGGGGCCATGATGGAGATGGGTGCCCCGCCACCCTCTACCTACCCCTCCCCTTGTTTGTTGCTGTACGTTACATTTTTTTTTCCATACTATATTATTTCTGTTAAATCCTATTACTCGTCCTACCCTCCATTTAACATCGAAATTTAAAATAATCTTTGAATTGCTACTATGGAGATACTCAGGGTCACTTATCCTTTTGGTGAATTGATCATTTACTAGTCAGACCCCTGCATAAAGATCTTCACTGCTCTTTTAGTCATGTTTTTCTCTTGTAATTTCTGATACCCCACACATACAACTTTTTTCCTTTGTCTATGAACTCTTAGCCCCCGGTCACATCGGGTGCAACTTGGCATGCGATTCGCAAATCGTATGCCAAGTCGCACCCTACTGTCTGCTATTACAGCAGTCATATCGGTGCAGTTCCAGACTTAGTCAGAGCCGAACTGATTTTTTAAGTAGTGCCTGCACTACTCTTGGTTCGATTTGCATAGATATGATATCTTGCAAATCGCACCTCAAATCGTCAAGTCACTTTGATTTTGAAATCGTGCAACTTCACTATAAGTCGCACAATTTCAAAATCGGCTTTGATGTGACCAGTTCACACTACATGTGTTTCAGTTGCTTTTTTTCTGCATTCAAAACACACAGAAAGTACATATGGTTGCCAATGTCATAGTTAGCAGTGCTCGCAGTTCCAGTGCGTTCCAGTTTCAGAAGAGAAGAAAAAAAAAAAAAAAAAAAAGAAGAACACGCTGCATTTTTTCTGCACAGAACCATACTGGAACGTAGAAAACTGCACCAGAACTGCATGTGTTGTGAACAAAAATGCATCCAGAGAGTATTTATGTAGTGCGAACTGGCCCTAAAGGGAACAACACTCCCCTTTCCTGCAACAGTCTCACCAACCTCATCTTCTGGGTGCTGCTTTTCAGCCATCTTTATTGGCTGTTGCAGGATGAAGCCAGAATAATGGACACTGCAGCTAGGTTCTCACCTCTGTGTGTTGTGATTGATACGTTTTTCCAGAGCATTTTTTTTCCCTGCCAATAGGAACGTATTGACTTTGCTGCCACTTTGGACAGGTGAGCCTTGGTTATGACTTTGATGCTACTTAAGTGTCAGAGCATCAAGTTGCATCACATGAACAGAACTGTCATACTTTCCGATTAAAAAAAAAAAAAAAAAAAAAAGTCGCCACGAAATCGCACCCATCCAAAGTCAAAACTTTGAGATTGGAAAAAAATACACACAAAAACAAACTACGTGCGTTTCTGTCAAGTGTCCATTGAAGCCCCAAAAATGCACTGTGTGGAGTTAAAAAAAAAAGTCCCTGACCCTTTCCAAAAACACAATAGCTGAAAACACATAGAACGTGTCCCATAGGAAATCACGTTAAATAGACTGTAATGGGTGTCTGCAAAATGCACAAGTGTGAACCAGGTCTGCATGTGTCTTCTGCAATAAAAATCCTGCCTGCTCACAGTGAACAGAAGCAGAAATTTAGTTCAGCTTTAAACTGTACACACACAGACCCATTGCTGTTGTAGGGCAAATGTACAGATTGGAAACTTTTCTGTGTACTATTGTTAATAGGTAACCTCCATTTATGCAATAAAAATAAGACTGAACCCCGAGATCCAAAGTCATACCTGTGTAGATGTGCTGCATGCCTGAAAGCCTGATGCCCTGCAGCACGTGTGCGGAACCCACTGAGCACCAGTGACGCAACGTCATTATTGCCTAGGCAGGAAAGGAGGAACTACTGTTCTGCAAAATGAAAGAAGCTAATTGGATGCTGTGTACAGCTGCTCCAGTCTTCATAGGTTCTCCTCAAATAACACGTAACGAGCACAGCACGTCTTTAGAACATGGCTGAAAAAGCAGCACGGTATTCTAAAGAGGAACACGCAGCTATCATGGTCCCTCTCCTTGCCCTCGTCCCAGCACACCACGCGGCCACCAATGCAGGCACACCTTCCTCCATCCACTCCCTCACCTTCCTAAGCCGCTCCATGAGAGCACTCTTGTTCCCGCCGATATCCAAATTCCGCTTCTTCAGCTCGGCCTTCAAATCTATAACTCGCAGCTCACTCAGCTTCTTGGTTTCAACGTCGGGAAGAACGCCCGAGTCCGCGGTGAGCTCTGCCATGATGCACGAAGAAACGATAGACGCTTCCTTAACAACAACGTCTTATGGCAGCGCCCGACAAGCACCCGCTAAGAGGGAACCCAACGAAGACAATGCGCATGCCACGCCTGCGCAGTTAACTGCACCGGAAGTGCTTTAACCCGCATGGCTCGCCGGAAGTGATTAGTGGACATTGTGTGTCGCGGCTCCCCTGTTCCGGTGTCTTGACATAGTGGTTTTCAGCTTTGTATTACTAGTTATACTGCGCCATGAAATGTTGGGGTTTTTGTAAAGGAGGGTTGTTTGGTAAATGTCCGTAGTAAACATACGTTTTCAAAAGTGTGACGAAAGTAACGCCCAGTTTCCATGCGCTGTTCGCAGAGTAAATGTGGCTGTATACAGCTGTTGCCGATTCAGTACTGTTTTCATTGATAGTTCATTAACCACTTGAACTCCTGAGGATTTACCCCCCTTAATGTCCAGGCCTCTTTTTGCTACTTGGCGCTGCACTAATTCAACTGATAATTGTGTGGTCATGCAATGCTGCACCTAAACGAAATTTACATCCTTTTTTTCACACAAATAGAGCTTTCTTTCGGTGGTATTTGATCACCTGTGCGCTTTTTATTTTTCACGCTATAAACAAAAAAAGACCAAATATTTTGAAGAAAAACAATATTTTTTACTTTCAGCTATAAAAAATATATAGTAAACTCAAAGTTAGTTATAAATTTAGGCCAAAATGTATTCTACTACATGTTTTTGGTAAAAAAAATCCCAATAAGTGTATATTGATTGCTTTGTGTGAAAGTTATAGCATCTACAAACTATGGTATAGATACTGCAATTTACGACATTTTTTGCTATACAGCGCTGCACTAGTTTAACCACTTGAGCTCCTGAGGATTTACCCCCCTTAATGACCAGGCCTTTTTTTGCTGTTTGGCGCTGCACTAATTCAAATGATAATTGCACGGTCATGCAATGCTGTACCCAAACGAAATTTACGTCCTTTTTTTTCACACAAATAGAGCTTTCTTTTGGTGGTATTTGATCACCTGTGCGCTTTTTATTTTTTTGCGCTATAAACAAAAAAATCACGAAAATTTTGAAAAAAAACAATATTTTCTACTTTCAGCTATAAAAAATATATCGTAAACTCAAAGTTAGTAATAAATTTAAGCCAAAATGTATTCTGCTACATGGTTTTGGTAAAAAAAATCCCAATAAGTGTATATTGATTGCTTTGTGTGAACGTTATAGCGTCTACAAACTATGGTATAGATACTGTAATTTATGCCTTTTTTTTGCTATACAGCGCTGCACTAATTCAAATGATAATTGCGCGGTCATGCAATGCTGTACCCAAATGAAATTTACGTCCTTTTTTTCACACAAATAGAGCTTTCTTTTGGTGGTATTTTATCACCTGTGCGCTTTTTATTTTTGGGCGCTATAAACAAAAAAAAATGAAAATTTTGAAAAAAAACAATATTTTCTACTTTCAGCTATAAAAAATATATCGTAAACTGAAAGTTAGTCATAAATTTAAGCCAAAATGTATTCTGATACATGTTTTTGGTAAAAAAAAAATCCCAATAAGTGTATATTGATTGCTTTGTGTGAAAGTTATAGCGTCTACAAACTATGGTATAGATAATTTGAAATTTACACAGCTTTTACTTTCTGACCGCCCATCACATCTCTTGAGGTGCTAAAATACCAGGATAGAACAAACACCCCCAAATGACCCCTTTTCGGAAAGCAGACACCCTAAGCTATCTGCTGAGAGACATATTGGGGTTTATTTACTAAAGCTGGAGAGTCCAAAATCAGACTCCCTTCTGCATAGAAAACCAATCAGCTTCTAACCTCAGCTTGTTCAATGAAACCTGGAAGCTGATTGGTTTCTATGCAGAAGGGAGTCTGATTTTGGACTCTCCAGCTTTAGTAAATAAACCCCATTGTGTCCATGGAAGATTTATTTTTTTTTTCACAAGTTTCTGGAAAATGACAAAAATGTTTTTTTTTTTTTTTTTTTTTTTACACAAAATTTGTCATTTAAATGATTTATTTCTTGCACAGCCATGGGTAATATGTGAATTACACCCCAAAATACATTCTGCTACTTCTACCTAGTATGAGGATACCACATGTGTGACACTTTTTGGGGAGCCTAGCCACATACAGGAGCCTGAAATCCAATGACCACTTTGAAAGCCTGAAGGTGGCGTAACTTCTTCAATTCACTTCCCCACTACCTATCACAGTTTCGGAGGCCCTGAAATGCCAGGATAGCACCAAACCCCCCCAAATGACCCCTTTTTGGAAAGTAGAAAGTTAGTGCTATTCTGGCATTCTAGGGCCTCCGAAACTGTGATAGGTAGTCAGGAAGTGTAATGAGGAAATAAAGCCCTTTAAAAGCCTGAAGGTGCTTACTGGATTTTGGGGTCCTGTACTTGGCTAGACTGCCAAAAAGTCTCTCATATGTGTACCCCCATACTTGGGAGAAGTAGCAGAATGTATTTTGGGGAGTAATTCCACATATACATATGGCTTGTGTGAGCAATAAATTATTTCAATGACAATTTTGTGTAATTTTTTTTTTTTTTGTCATTTTCCAAAAACGTGGTAAAAAAATAAATTATTCTTTTGATTCAACATGCCTCTCAGCAAATAGTTTGGGGTGTCTACTTTCCAAAAAGGGGTCATTTTGAGGGTGGGGGGGCATTTTATGCCCAGCATTAGAAGTTTATGCCACACATCACTCACTCTTCTAACCACCTGAAGACCAAGCCTTTTCTGACACTTTTTGTTTCACATTAAAAAAATCAGTATTTTTGCTAGGAAATTAAAGTGAACCCCCAAAACATTATATATTTTTTTTTTAGAGCAGACACCCTAGTAAATAAAATGGTGGGTGGTGCAATTTTTTATCTCACATATTACTTATACAGCGATTTTTCAAACGCAATTTTGTTTTGAAAAAATATACACTTTTTTTAATTTTAATGCACAAAAACACAATATAATGGCCAATTATTGGTATGATATAAAAAGATGATGCTATGCTGAGTAAATAGATACCAAACATGACATGCTTTAAAATTACGCATGCCCAGTGCAATGGCGACAAACTGCATACATTTTTAATATCTATAGGCAAACGCTTTAAAAGCCTTTACAAGCTACCATTTTAGATTTACAGAGGAGGTCTAGAGCTATAATAACTGCCCTTGATCTGACGTTCATGGCGATACCTCACATGCATGGTGCAATCGCTGTTTCCATACTGGCACAGGGTCAACGCTCACGACCGCAGGGTGTGCGCGGATGGCGAGAGGGGTCCTTTTTTTTTTGTTTTTCTTTTTTCTTTTTTTCTGATTTATTTAATTATTTTTACAGTGTCCCTTTAATTTATTTATTTTTTTAATCACTTTTAATGCTGTCTCAGGGAGGGGGGGGGCATTTTCTCTCCGCTGCTTGTAAAGGCAATCCTGCAGCTAATTAGCCACTAGGAATGCTTTTACATGAAAGCCCAATGCCTCGGCAGTACAACAACAGTACAACAGTAAAAGTAGAACAATCACAAAAATGGACAACAAAAAAAAAAACTATAACTATTTTTGGTTTTTACATTTTTTTTTTTTTTTTTTTTTTTTTTTTTTTTTTTTTTTTTTTTTATTTTTTTTTTTATTTGTATTTTTATTTTTTTTTTTTATTTTTTAAAAAAATTTTCAAACTTTAAACATTTTTAAAAACTGAGCTGGTAGGGTCTTTCCAAATGCGATAGCCAGTTTCCTGACTACCTAACATTCTTTCGAGACCCTGTGTAAATGTGCCCTGATCTGTGCCGTGCTGTACCCTATACTAATAGTCAACTAGTGTATGGTAGAGGCAGAAGCAGGGCTTGACGCAGAGGCCAGGTTGGCCAGGGACAGGAGGGACAACAATAGCGGCTGTCACGCCTAATTCCACGTTTTGTTGCAGACCACAACATCTTTTTTGGGGTCTTCTTTGGGTTTGGGGTACCAGGAATGGTATCGGGAAAATGTTTCTCATGCAGACGGCTAACTGCATCTGGGATAGGGGTTTGGGGCGCAGCACCTTCTGGATACAAAAAGGGCCCCACGTTTGATCTCTACCTGGAAATTTAGGTATGATCCACTATGTCCAGTTGCTTTATAGAGAACAAAAGCATTATTTACAGCCAATTGAAATAAATAAACTGACACTTTTATGTAGCCAGATCGTTTGGCTTTTCGGGAAACTAAGTACGGCTTCATCATCTGGTCGTTGAAGTCCACACCCTCCCATGTTAAGGTTTATAATCGTGGACACAGTGGGGCTTACTCAACAACACCAGTCCTCGTGGTAATTTGGACGGGTCGTATCTGCGTGAATGGAAGACAACAGGAGGTAAACATCCCTTTGTCCTTCCACTTCACTGCGAGCAATTCTTCATTTCTGAAGCAGGCTTTTTCCCCCTTTTATAAGACGGGTATTTACAAGCCGTTGGGGAAATAGCCCCCAGCGATTAGATCGCACAGTGCCACATGCGCAAATTCCCCAGATTTCAGAAGCACAATGTCTAAATAGTGGCACGCTTGAATAAAAATTGTCTACTTATAAGTGGTACCCCCATATGGAAAAAGGATGATGCCAAGTCCCAAACTATCTTGCCACTGCTCCCCATGTAGTCTGGCATCCGGGGGGCTCCAAGTGACTATCTTTTCCCTTGTAAATCCGAAACTTACATGTATAGCCTGTTGCCCTCTCACAGGTCTTATACATCTTGATCCCAGGCATCTGGCATGCTTGCTGGGAGATATTGTTTGATTAGAAGGCGGCCAGAATTATTCAATGAGGGACTCATTGATGCAGATGTTTTTATGGGGCAGTATACACATCTGCAAATTTTTTGGTTAAAGTGATTTACGAGGGGCCGAATTTTGTCGGAGCCGGTCAAATTCAGGTGTCACCCCGAGACGACTGAGTGTGTTGTTTGTAGAATGGGAGTGCATAAAACGCATTATCGTCTCATATCTATGCCTTGGCCATGGCAGCAGAGAACACGGACATGTAAACAAGCGGGTCTGTGGACCAATACAACCGCAATTGAATTTTATGCCCATGTGGAGGGTTAGACCCAAAAAAACTTTAAATTCGGAAACCGTAATGGGTTTCCATGCGATTGGGTCTGGCTAGATAAGAATTTGGGTTGGCGGCGATATATTGTCGTTGTATATAAATTGCTTTGATCCACAATCAATGCATAAAGAGGGGAGTATTTAAATTTGCTGTTTCCACCTGAATTCCGGGTTGGGCAGTGAATGGGGGAAGTAAGTGTGCTGCAGAATTTGGTGGGCTGCCAATCGGGATTTGCAAGCACACTCCGGAAGGACACTAGGGGCTTCTACAGGCCTGTCTGCGAAATCTGGTGGCCGCGGGACACTACTTGTGCTCGCCACGTCACCAGCTTGTTACTGCACTTATGGGACTCGCCACGTCAACAAGTGATACTGCAGTGCTGGTATGTATACGACCAGGATGTACTAGGCCGCTGGTGCTTTGCCAGTTCACCAAAAGGTAGTGCGGCACTAGTACTATTGGCAACTCTGCTGCATATGGAGAGTCAATCATACATTTGTACCACCTCAGCAACCTGGAATGGGGATCGGGTACACCTGATCTTAGCAGGGACCTTCTTCCTCGTCGTCTGAGCTATCTGTCAGGGTACCGCTGGCTGTCTATAGGGTTCGTATTCTGAGCCTGATTCTGCCACTGAGTCTTCCCCTTCGCTCTCACTTGACATGCTCAGAATCCTATAGGCCTCTTCACTAGAGTACCTTTGCTTGGACACATTTTTGGCCACTAAATTTACAGTTACCTAGTGCGACTCACGGGAAAAAGAGCGCCTGGCTGTCAGGGACTGCTTGAACCGCTACAAAAAATTTACCGACAGTGCTAACAGAAGATCAGGCCTGATTCTAAGTGAACACTGCGGTTTTGTGTGTAATATGTATCAAGTGACAGTTATCTACTGACACTGCACTTGCTGGGGGGAGAAGGGGGGGAGGGGGCGTAGGGGCTAAAAAAAAAAAAAAAAAAAAAACGCAGGTGCTGGCAGGTGTCGGGGCTGATCCCGCTAGCCGCTGCCTTTTTTGGGAATACTATAGTAATGTGAAACCGCTGAGTAATAGTGCTAGATCTGTGATCAAGATAATTGATTCCAATCAGACACTATGTACAAGCAATGGAGGTTTAGAGACGTGCAAGTAACAGCGTGTTCCTGTGCAATCAAGGCAGTCAAATGTGATTACTTGTGTACTAGTGCGGCAAACTGGCGCTACTCTGGGAGGGGCGCTAACACTATCGGAAGTCACCAGTGACACTAATACAAGTGATCAGTAAAAAATCTGTTTCACTGTTAATCAATGACACTGGTGACAGGGCAGTGAAGGGGGTTAACTGGGGGGGTGGGGCGAGGCGATCAAGGGGGTTAAAATGGGTATTACTGGTGTACTGGCGAGGCAGAACTGGCGCTATCTGGGGATGGGGACGCTAACACTACTGGAAGTCGCCAGCGACACTGATACAGTGATCAGGTAAAAATCTGTCACTGTGATCAATGACACTGGTGACAAGGCAATGAAGGGAGTCAACTCGGGGGGGGCTATCAAGGGGTTAGACGGGATTACTGTGTGTATTATCGGGCAATCTGGGAGGGCGCTAACACTTTATCGGAAGTTTGCCAGCGTCACTGATACAGTGATCAGTAAAACATCGTGTTCACCTGTATCAAGTGACTACTGGATGACAACGGGCAGTGAAGTGGGTTAAACTGGGGGAGGGGGGGAGAATTAAGAGGGGTTTTTAAATGTGTCCTCAGGTGTGTAGTGTTAACTGTGTGGGTATGTGCTGTTTTTTTACTCACATGTTAGGTATGTCTTCTTTCTGTGTACCATGGCAGAGAAGTAATGACTTATGTCATATCTCTTGTCCCAGTGTGTAGAAGTTGTCAACACAGGGACAAGGATATGGAGACAGGGATTCCCGAATCATCTGACTTTAGCCAGACGTGATCACTGGCTGTGTAATCTATTGATTGATCCCTCCGGGCATTCATAATGTGTGTGCACCACGCGGGTCGGTCGGCTGTGAGCGGCTGCACTCGACCCGCCTGGCCCGTGATAACGTCGGGAGACCACGGAGCACGTATTAAAAACGAGCCTTTTGTGCCCCCAGTTGCCGCCCTGTTATATATACAGTGACAGGGCAGGCAATGCGGATTAGCGTGACCAACTTGCTAGCGGTTACATGCAATTATAGGTACCATAAAGGAAATTTTATGTCCTTTTTTTAGTAAGACACACAATAGAGCATCTCTTTTGGTCGGTATTTAATCACCCTGTGTGCACACTTGTTATATTTTTGGTGCTTATAACCAGGAAAAATTTGAAGAAAAAAAAATTTGGTTGACTAAAAGAAAAAAAGAACAATATTTCTTTTCACATTTTGGTTCATGAAAATTATCTACTAAGTAGACAACTGAAAAATTTCGTATCATACACTTGTATAGGCAAAATGTATTCTGCTACATGTTATTGAGTTAAGTAAAATCCAATAAGTGTATATTTGATTGCTTAATTTGTTATTTAGTAAAGTTATTGCGTTCTACCATACAATGGTTATAGATAATTTAATTTACATAGCCTTTGTACTTTCTGACTGCCCATCAGATATCTTGCAGGTGCTAAAATACCAAGGATATGTACAAACTCACCTCAAACATGACCCCTTTTCGGAAATTAGACACCCTAAGCTATCTGCCTAAGAGCATATTGATAGTCCATTGGCAAGAATTATGATTTTTTTTCACCAAAGTGTCTGGAAAATGGCAAAACATCATTCAATCTCTGTCTAAACCAGACGTGAAGACTCCAAAGCCTTTTTGTTCAACATGAACAAAATCTATATTTTTTTGCTAGGAAATTAATTTTAAACCCCCAAACATTTATATAATAATGTTTTAAAGCAGCACACCCAATTAGTGAATAAAATGGGTGGGTACTACATTACAATATTTTATGGCACATAGTATAACTCTCGGCGCAGCGATTTTTCAAAAGCAATGTTAAAAAAAAGAAAAATACAACTTTTTTTTGTACTCTTTAATGCACAAAAACACATATATATTGGCCAATTGTTTTGGTAAAATATAATAGATAGTCGGTATGGCTGCGAGTATAACTATATACCTAAAGTTATGTACATGCTTTGAATAACAGCCGCATGCCCCCTGTGCAATGGTGACAAACGTGCAAACTCATTTTTCAAATAGGGGGGGGGGGGGGGGGGGGACGCATATGGCGGGAGGCAGCGCTTTAGATAGAAGCCACCATTTTAGATTTACAGTAGGAGGTCTAGTGTTAGAATTACTGCCCTTAGATATGACGTTTTTCACGCAATAACGCTCTTCATTGCATGTGGTGAAACTTCTGTTTACATAACGCGCTACAGGGTCAAGGCTTGTGCGCGCATGGTAGTGGGCCAATTTTAATATTTATTTAATGTTTATTTTTTTAAGTTATTTATGATTTTTTTTTTATTATTTTTACATTGTACCTTTCATTTTTTCTTTTTTTTAGCACCTTTTTAATGCTTGTAACAGTAGGAATTGCAAATAACCCTGATACACTTCAATGGGCAAGTGTCCAAATATTCTTTTTTGAGAAATCCCTGGGGTTCTATCAGACTCTAGATATCTCCGACTGCCCATACATTATCTAATCATAACCCAAATCCAGTGTGATCAGATGCTTTCCCAATTTACAAATGGCGCTGTTTAAAATTCCTGCGAACTGAAGTGATTGAAATGCTTGTAAGCTTCCTGAATTCTATAGACTATAGATATGAAGGCACCATTCTGGTTCCCAATCAGCTTTTATGGTCTTGGCAGAAACACCGCTGCTTCTCAGGTTCCCCCGATGGTTTAAGGGGCTGCCCAAAAAGGCCGTGGGAAAGGGAGCGGGGGGGGGGGGGGACATAAACTCCCACTGCTTGTAAAAAGCAATTCCCTTTCAGCAATTTAGCCACCCAGGGGTTGGGTTTTACATTGGGAAAACCTCAAACACCGGCTGAAAAAAAAATACCCGGGGGATTTCCTTTTGCCCGGGAGGCAATCCTTGGGATAACCATTCAAATTCCCCCGAAACCCTTACAACCGCTGGTCCTTTTTGGTTTTTATGCTATGTTCTTTTTTTTTTTTTATGCAACCAGTGGACTGAATGAAAAAATTAGAAGAAAATTTTTCTGCCCGAAAAATGGTTTTGGGAGCCACCATTAGAAAAAATACCGGGACGCATCCAACCCCCTTCTAATGGGGGGGCACAATTTGGGAAAACCTTTTTACAGTGCCAGTTTTCCCGGGTTGAATAAAATGTCCAAATTTGTTTGGGACGCTTGAAAAAAAAATTGTCCACGTAAAAAGTGGGGACCCCAAATGGAGAAATGAATTAACCAAGTCCCAAAAATTTTCTTACCACTGCCCCCATGTAGTCTGGGGATCCGGGGGGGCTCCCCGTGACAAACTTTTCCCCCGTAAATCCGAAACTTATAAGTTTAACCTTGGGTTTTCCTCTTTACAGGGCCCTTTTACAAACTTGCCCCCATATCTGGGACGGTTGCAGGGGAATAAAAAAGTTTTGAATGCAAAGGCCCCCCAGAAAAAATTTTTTAAGGGAACCTAAAAAGCAGGATTTTTTGTGGGAGTTAGGGGCAAATTTCAAAATTTTTTGGGTTTAAAGGGGAAATTTTTCGAGGGGGGTGAATTTTTTTTGGAGGCGGGCAAAATTTAGGGGTTTCCCCCCAGGATGAAAAAGGTATTGTCGCTGAAATGCAAAAAACAAAATTATACTCTCATATCTATGCCTTTGGCCCCTGGCAGCGGGGGAAAAAAACGGTTTTAAAATGAATCGGGTTTTGCGGACCCAAAACAAACCCCAAATTTAATTTTTTTTTAGTAATGCCCATGTTTTAAGGGGGGTTTGGCCAAAAAAAATGGTAAATTTGAAAAACCCTTTAAAGAGTTCCAAGCGAAAGGTCTGGCAAGGTTTTTAATTTGGGGGTTTGGGGGCAATAAAAAGTTTGCATATAAAAAATTTTTTGATCCACAATTTAAGCAAAACAGATTTGGTTTTTTGAAAAACAGCTCCAAAAAAACAAGGGGGTTTTGTGAAGACGAGGTGTAAATAGACCGCTGGGACTCAACGTTAACCAAAAGGTAGAAAAAGGGAAAAGTATGGCACTTTTGCTGCATAAAGAGAGTCATTTAAAATTTACCGGCAATTTCTAACAAGATCAAACCCGGGTTCCCCGAAATACTGCGGTTTTGTGTTTAAAAGTAATAAAATGAAAGTGACCTACGGGCCACTGCACTTGCTGTCGGGGGAGAAGGGGGGTAATCGTAGGGTCTAAAGCAGGTGTTGGCCAGGTGCCAGGGCTTATCCCCGCTAAACCGCTGCGTTTTGGGGACGCTATACTAATGGATAATGCTGGTAAACTGCTGACACTGATCAAAGAATATG